TTATCGCTAAACAATAACACTCACATTAAATGAATCTGTAATGTAATCATGCGAGAAATTCATGTGCTATATCTTATTTGAAAATGCAAATCACATTTTACAAAAATGTTCTTTAAATGTTAGGATTTAATTATTTAAAAAAATCAGTATTGTATATATTCAATTCTTTATATGTATATTAAATCAAGGGATTTGAAAGTAATGAATGTTGTGCTTCATAAACTAGATATTAAAAAGNATGAATCTGTAATGTAATCATGCGAGAAATTCATGTGCTATATCTTATTTGAAAATGCAAATCACATTTTACAAAAATGTTCTTTAAATGTTAGGATTTAATTATTTAAAAAAATCAGTATTGTATATATTCAATTCTTTATATGTATATTAAATCAAGGGATTTGAAAGTAATGAATGTTGTGCTTCATAAACTAGATATTAAAAAGTTTTATTTTTATATTTTAAATATTGAATATATACAATACGTTCGTTTCGAACGTCTTCATGATTTTGTATATCCAAGGTAAAGATTTTTTGGTTATCAGTTTTCTTTCGAAGCAAGACTCTATCTTGCAAGGCATCTTGTACCTATATGGATTAATAGTCCATTTACTATACAAGATGCAAGCATTCTCCACTTTAGTCACACGAATTCAATTTCTAGTCAACCAAGAGAAAGCTTTAAGAATTAAGTATGTTAATGTTAACGCATATAAAATTTTATCTCTTTGCTGACGTTGCAGCATGTCCAGTTCAATAGCCATAACGCGACGATTTAATTTACCTACTTGTCGACGTAGATGTTGCACCTCTTCACTGGGTGGAATAGAAACATTGAGTGCACTATATGAAGGTGTCTGTTCTCTGTAAGGTAATAATATAAAAATTTGTGTGTAAGAATGCAATTTATAAAAAAATATAAATATTTATACCTAGCATGTCTAACGACTACATCTGTTTCTACAGTATATGGTACACGAGGTCTGGATAATGCAGAATCTTTAACTTCTGTTATATACGAAGTTCGTTCATCTTCATCAACTGCTGGGAAGTAGTGATTATCCAATGTTAAAATTCTTGGTGGAGTCTATCAATAATATAGAAGTGTAAATATTAATTAAATTAAAAATAAACATTGTCTATAGTAACATAAAAAATGCATATTAGTAATGCTGTAAGATATTAAAAGATAATTCATGTAAAAATTAGTTGATATTTAAAAATGTATACAAACATCGTTTACCTGTACTCTGACCATGCCTTGTTCAGTAGGTAATACAGCATTTTCCAATGCAATTTCTCTTGGCAAAGCCTTTGTTCCAATGTGTTGCTCTTGTCCTATATAATTTCAAGGTAAGGTGAAATGTTAAAGCGATCAGATTGTATATTAATTATATTTTGTTATATTTTAGAGTTAACACGAAGTACTTTAACATTATATATTTACCAACAACTAAAATTCTTTCCGGAACATGCATGTCGTATTTATCTGCGGCAACCACTTGATTCCAAGCAGAACCATTTGTTCCATTTATGTCTTCATCTGTATAGTCGCCGCTCACACGAATAGTTTTTGGTACACGCATCCTTTTATTTAAGTCCAAAGCAAAATTGGGATCATAAAAATTGTCAGCTTCTCCATTAAATACGGTAGGACTATGTGTTTTTGACATTGTAACTAAAAAATAAAGAAACAAAAATTGTAATCGCAGCTTTCATAAATATAAATTTACTTTAACTGAATAAATTCTACGAATTTGTGAAAATCTAAAACGTTACTTTAAAAAATTGTTCTACTTTTCTACAAATCAGGAGAAATAAATTTTCAATATGTATTTCAAATGGAATAATCATCGTTCATCAAAATTCTATAAAGAAAAGTGATGGTTTATCCATTAAAACAACGATGATCATTGAAACGAATTTGGAAAAACTATAATAAATATGTATTAAATTTTAAGCCACGGTAGATATCGTAATAGTAATATGTAGTCGATTATAATGACGACACAAAAGAATACCCAACGTAATTCTTGCGTAACGAAATCGAACCATAGTGAAGTGAAACATGAATTATATTTATGTATAATGTTTGTAATATTAAACGAACATGAATATTAAGCATATATTTATTTTAAATTCAAAGAATTACCTTCGAACAGCCTGCTTGAGCTTGTCGATCGTTGAACACAAACTTGTCCTATGAAGTTAGCAACATAATACAAGATGTAAAAGTATTGAGATCATGTTTCTCGAAAATAATCGATAGCGAAGGTATCGATTTAAACAAAACTCCCGCCAAAAGTACATGTGTTACAACGTTCAGTATCAGCGTAGAGCAGAGCTCTCTGGTTCCTGACCGCTCTTGAAATTTCCACTCAAGTCTCTATTGGTGTCTAGTCTGTCCAATGGTGTTGGGAATTCTACTCAGAATCTGCTCCAAGTGGCGAAGAGGAGACCTCACAAATGTGATTGGAGAATTCCAATGGATTGCCAATGGAAATCCATTGGCATCGTTCAGTCCCATTTGTGATGGGTAATTCTCCCACTACTACTTTTTGGAAGAAAGTCATAAAAGCGCATGTGAGAGCTCTGGTGTAGATTAATTTCAAATTTCAACTGCCATTGAAGCACATTGAGATCTCAAGTGTCCAGTTGAGAAGAAAGATTATTTATAATTATTTACGATACTGTAATCAACAATAACGACTTATTGTGAAAAAATATGAGTAATACGGAATGTAAGTGTTTACACAAATTACCCACGTGTTTATAAATTTCTTTCTAAATGTTGTATTTTAAATACGAGTTCGTAATACACTGGATTATTAAACAAATTATTTAGCACCTTCAACGAGTAGATCGAAACGTCAAAAGATTGATAAAACTGGGAGACTATCAGCCTTAGAAAAATTGAAACAGTTGAAGGGTAGTAAACATAAATACGAAGTTGATCAGTTAGAAAATGTGTACGATGAAGTTGATGAAAAAGAATACAGTCGAACTGTAATAAGCAGGCAGAATGATGATTGGATCATTGATGATGGTAATAACTTTCTTCGTTACATGATACAAGGTAACTGAGAATTTAAATTCTCTGCAAATGAGAATAATTTGTTTTATGCTATAGGGGAGAGTGGTTATGTTGAAGATGGCAGAGAAATTTTTGATGATGATTTGGATAATGAAAGTATCCAAGAAGCAAGAAAACACAAAGTTTCTGGTCCAAGGAAAAACAAAAAAGAAGATGTCAAAAAAAAGGGATCGATTCAAAACATGTTGATGAATATGCCAACTAAAAAAAAAGCAGATGTTGGACTCAATGATGACAATATTTTAGGAGATTTAATGTCAGAATTAAAAAAAAATGATACACCAACAAAGCCAGAAACAAGAACAGTTAGAAATAAATTTTGTACTACTTCTAAAGTGAATAAGTAACTAAATCTTTTTTTTTACACATATACAGGTGTTGTCCCAAGACAGTCTGAAATTATTATATTATTGTCAAAACAATTTCAGAACTACCGATATCGGACAGAAACAAGAATCTGCTTTGGAACAAAACAAAATGCAGTCCAATAATGATGATGATTTTGCGATGTTTGATGCAGTTAGGAAGACAGATATAAATAAACAAAACGAGTCAAATTTCCAATTAGGAAATAGTAGTAGCCAAAACATTATCGATGATGAATGGTGCGATGAATCACAAACAGTTTCTAAAATATCGGATGTAGAATTGAAAAACAGTGTCACTGAAAAAAGTAGTAGTCAAGTAATAGAGGAAGAAAGTGAAGATCTTAGTCAATTTGTTGGAGACGTAAGTTATTATATTTCTCAATACTTAATACTTGAAAACAAATCACAGGTTTTATAGTTATTATTTTCTTTTATAGTTTTGCAGTTCAGATTTCGAAAATGAATGTACAAGTCACATTGGAAAATCAGGACCATCTACCATTGTGGAAAATAGTAAACCGGAGCCTGAAGTTAAGAATCTAAATATTGAAAACGAAATGTTTGAAGCCATAGACTTTAGCAAAATATTGGATACTGAATTTTCAACACAAACGCAAAATGTTGAAGTTTCAGTAGATACTACAGAATTGCCTTTACCATTTACAAGTAATGCCAATAAAGAAGAAGTGTTTAGATTTTATTGGTGGGACGCATACGAAGATCCGTACAAACAACCTGGAGTTGTATATTTATTTGGAAAAGTCTTTGTACCGTCTATAAAAACTTACTGCTCTTGCTGTTTAACAGTTAAAAATATTCCTCGAAGAATTTATCTTCTTCCTAGAGTGCATGTACGATCAAATATTTATCAAGCTTGTTTTTTCCCTATCGAATGTGTTACAATGATTATAAATTTTAGATAAAATCTTCCAAGGATACTAACGATGAACCAAAATTGAATTCAATGGAAGAAGTTTATAAAGAATTTAATCAGTTTGCAAATAAATCAGGAATAAAAGAGTTCCGTTGTAGTACGGTTACAAAACATTATGCTTTTGAGCAGGAAGATACTCCATTAGTATCTGAATATTTGGAAGTGAGGTATTCAGCGCAATATCCGGCTATGCCTTCTGATTATACTGGATCGTCGATAGAACGCGTCTTTGGTACAACAATAAATCCTTTGGAATTACTTATAATAGAAAGAAATATTAAAGGACCCTGTTGGTTGGACGTGAAATGTCCATTACCAACTGGTGTACAGACCAGTTGGTGTAAAATCAAGGTATTATAATTTAATATCTCGATTTGATCTATCGTTTTAAGTTTTAAAGCCCATGTTGTATAACACAACAGGTGAATTGTATGAAGATGGAGAACATATCAGTTTGTTCTGAGACTCAAGCCTTACCACCATTAGTAATAATGACTTTAAATATACGGACATCATTGAATTCGAAATCTCAACAAAATGAAATAGTCATGATTGCAATATTAATACATCATAAATTTCATGTCGATAGAGAACCTCCTAAACCTCCGTTTCAGCAACACATTTGCTGTACGTTAATTCACATATTCAGAACTTTTTTTAATATTGGCTTGGATGTTCAATATTATGTATTTTATTTTAGTAATCACACATCCGCGTGATATTCCTTGGCCGCGACAAGCACGCGAAATGTTCTCGAAAATTTCATACACTAAAGTAATGAAATTTGATACCGAAGTGGATCTACTTGAAGAATTGCTAAAAATAGTGAACACAGTAGATTCAGATTTATTAATTGGATATGATTGTGGTTTTCAATTCGATATACTAATGCACAGAATGTTCACTCTAAAAGTTCCAAATTGGAGTAGATTTGGAAAGCTAAGACGCTCTATGCCACCTTTAATTAAGGTATATGTTTTACTGTAAAGTTCTGATTTTGTGACAATATTATACTTACTAGAACTCAGTCTATATGTAGTCAATACAGTTGTCGTAAAAATACTTTAAAAAATAAATTTTAGGGGAAAATAAATATGAATCAAGTACTTGCTGGTCGTCCTTTGTGTGATATACAAGTTTCAGCTAAGGAATTGAATCTAAAAGTTAGAAGTTACGATCTCCAATCTCTCTGCATAGCGGTAAATATTTCATAAATGCGCTCGTTTAATATTTATTAAGGGGGAAACTAAATTTATATTTGCTATATTTGGTTATAAAACCATAGGTTTTAAAGAAAAAGGAAAATGAATGCAAGGAAATAAAACCTGGTGAATCTGGATTATTTTACGCTACAACAAGTAAAGTAGATAATTTAATTAAAATAACACTAACAGAGGCATTGTATATTCTCTCTATTGTACTTGAGCTTAATGTTCTCCCACTTGCACTACAAATTACATGCATTGCTGGTATGTACACTGATAATGAAGTATTATAGGGAATGCATTTGTTTTTTCAATGAAACGTGTATATACTTGCCCACAGGAAATATTTTATCAAGAACATTAACAGCAGGACGCGCAGAAAGAAATGAATATTTATTACTACATGCTTTTCACTTAAAAAATTATGTAACTCCAGATAAACGAGTTACAAGAAGGGGAAAGAATGCTGAAAACAATGGTATAACTTTTTTAATGCATTCAATTTTGTTTAAATACAACTAATTCTGCATCATGTTTAGAAAATACTGGCAAGAAGAAGGCAGCTTATGCTGGGGGTTTAGTTCTTGATCCAAAAAAAGGATTTTACGACAAACTGATATTATTGATGGACTTCAATTCCTTGTATCCCAGTATAATCCAAGAATACAATTTGTGTTTCACTACTGTCCCTGGCGCTGCATATGCTGATGTCGAGGTAAGTATATTTATTATTATTTACGAAATCTCTTCAATCTAGCTAAATAAATGCGCTTGCAGGATTTAAGTATTCCCGAATCAAATCTAGAGCCTGGAGTAATTCCAACAGAAATTCGCAAATTGGTTGAGAGTAGAGTGGAAGTGAAAAAATTAATGAAGGCACCAAATAACTCACCCGAGTTGAAAATGCAATATAATATTAGGCAGTTGGCTTTGAAACTAACAGCTAATTCCATGTACGGTTGTTTAGGCGCAACTCATTGTAGATTTTATGCTAAAGGACTTGCTGCTCTGGTAACAGGTAAAATTTGAAATCAATTTGCCTGTTCCACTGTTGCATACATACTAAATATAAAAACATCTTACAGCAAAAGGTCGAGAAATTTTACGACACACAAAAAATATTGTTGAAAAATTGAATTATGAAGTTATATATGGAGACACAGACTCCATAATGATAAATACTAATTTAATAGAGTATGAAGAAGTTTTCTCTGTTGGTAGGAAGGTAAATATTTAATGTTTACTACAAATACTTGTTTAAAACTAGTACACATACAGATAAAATGGCTTTCTAGATTAAACAAGAAGTGAATAAACTGTACAAACGGGTGGAATTAGATATTGATGGTGTATTTCGCTATTTACTACTTCTACAAAAGAAAAAGTATGCTGCGGTTATAATGACAAAATTACCTAACGGACAGATCGAATTAACGCAAGAACATAAGGGTTTGGATATTGTGAGAAGGGACTGGTGTCAGCTAGCTTGCGATGTTGGAAAGTCAGTAAAAAATGGAGAACAGCAGAAATATTTTCTATCTTGCAATTGTTAATCATTCTAAATATTTTACAGAAAAATCTTAGATCAGTTACTTTCTGATCAATCTAACGAGAATCGGCTAGAAAATATTTTCCTGATGTTGCAAAATGTTGCGAAAAGTGTTCGAGAAAAACAAGTTTCTTTATCATCGTTAGTTATTACAAAACAGTTATCGAAAAATCCAAACGAATATTCGGATGCCAAGCAAGCTCATGTGCAAGTAGCTTTAAGATTAAATAAGGAAGGTGGTAGAATGTGGAAAGTTGGTGATACTGTGCCATACATTATATGTGATGTTTGTATAAATTAATATGTTTAAAGTCATTCAGAGTGTTCGATGTTATACATCAGTATTATCTTGTTATGTAGGATGGAACAGAGAAATCTGCAACTGATAGAGCATATCACATCGACGAGTACAAAAAGAGCAGTTCTTTGAAAATTGATGTTAATTATTATTTACTAAGTCAAGTATTTCCGATTGCGTTGAGAATTTGTGAACCAATCGAAGGAATCGATGACGTGTTACTAGCTCAGAATTTGGGTAAAATTTGAATTTACGTATATAAAATAAATGATCGGATAAGTATGGTATAAAATAATATACTTTTATATAGGTTTGAAGAACATTTATAAATCTAAAAGAGTGATACATGAACAAGAAAGCAACGATATACCATTGTTAGTAAATGATGATAGATTTAGATTTTGTCTTCCATTCAAATTTAAGTGTGCAGATGAAAAATGTCGATCCGAAATTGTAGTAAAAGACATTGTTATCGAAACGGTAAGTTGAGATGAAATTCTTTTAAAACTGAAATTCAAATTAATGTTTATTGGAAACAATTATTTTATAGCCCAACGGTAATCAATTATCACTTGCATCATGTTCAAATCCAGAGTGCACGGTACAACCATGGACATATGTAAATGCTATACAAAATGCATTAACGCTTGCTGTACGAGAAGCAATTACGGAATATTATGATGGTTGGTTAGAATGCGAAAATCCATTATGCGGAGAAAGAACACGAAGAATTCCATTAGGGTTTTATGGAAAATATCCACCTTGCAGGAAATGTGGTGCTGATATGCATAGAGAGGTAAACTTAAAATTATACTTTCGTTTTATTAAGTATATTAAATACTATAATATCGTTTTAATTTATAGTATTCAGAAACAAAACTTTACAATCAACAGTGTTTTTATCTTCATCTATTTGACGTGAGTCAATCAAAGTATAAAAGTATGTATTCAAGAAAAACGAATAATTAAAAGTTCTTGGAAGAACGTAAAAATTACCATTTATGTGCTTTCAGACTTACTAGCACAATATCCACAAGGTATGAGAGCAGCATATGATTGTTTAAAAGAAGCAATGGAAAAGGTATTGAAACGAAATGCATTTTCTGTTGTATGCTTGGACACGTTATTCGGAAATATGAATGTAGCACACAAGTCAACAGATCAAAATACACCTATTTTGAATATATATGACACATCAGATGATGAGAGTTGCTAATACAATCGATACGGAAGTTATAAATTTTAAATAATGTCAGAATTTCTTCATTTTTCACCCAAAAGTTGACCACAATTCATAACTTCATATGATTCTAATAAAAATTAGTATTGATAAGTCTTTAGGGTCGTTGAATTTAAATATTTGACCATAATATAAAAATTTTTAAAGGATGATTCAATCAGCAACAAAATAAACATGTTTTTTCAATTCATTGCTGTAAAAAGTAATATTTTTCTGACTTTCATTATAAATGATATTTTAACGTAAAATTCGAGAATTTCTTCCGATTCCTCTCTAGTATAGC